ATACACGATTGTGTACTGTGTCCTACAACTGATGTAGCAATTTTTATGGCAGAAAGCTTTTTAGTGCCTGTGCCCAGAGTAGTAGGTATGCTGCTCTTTTGATACATATGAAAGTTTCTAGCAGTCAAAAGCTTAAATGTTTAAGGTTGGGAGGGAGCTAAAGAGGGAGAAATCTGCTAAACATCACATAATAATATATAAATGTTAATTAGAGGAGGGTTTTTAAATGGCTGATCCAATTAGTGTCTGCTTAAAGTTCCCTGAATGCAGAGAAAAGCTTTTTGATCAAGGCGATAGCATCAGACTCTGTGAAAGGTCTCGAATGAAAGGGATTCTTTGTTCTGACACTTTCCCATCTTCTTGGGCTCTCCTCCTCCTCCTCCCAATCAGATGTGCTGTCATACCTGAAGGCAAGAAATCCTTCATCTCCCTCTCTTCCCCCACCTTCCCCTTCTTTCCCATGTCATTATCTTTTATATATATATATATATAACTGGTAAGCAATTACACTCCTTCACAACTCCTGCTATCTACATTTCTTCTCCCACTGCATTGGCTGAATCTCGGTAATTATCCATATTACTTCTGTATTTCCCCATGCTCTTATTTTATGAAAATATACCAAGGGCCACATCCAGTTGCTTCTGCTGTGCCAGCAGAAGATGCCTATCGAGGGAAGAGGGCATGGATGTCTTTGTTCTTGGTTTATGGTTGTAGAGCAAAGTTCCAGGTGATATTCAGTGCAGAGAAACGTAAGGATAAAGCTCTGATATTACAACTGCAAAATGAATAGCTAATAACCTTCTAACACAAGAGTGATCCCTGGAATCCTGTTTAAACTCAGAGGGTTTTTTTTATAGTCATTATGATTGAGCAAAACTGGGCAAGTTCCATCCAACTGCACCTACTCTGTCAGCAGAAGATGCTTACCCTGGGGCACTTTAAGTTCTCTCCTTTTGCAGTCCTTCAATCTTCACCAAAGTATAACCAGCTAGATTGATAATCAGCAGTAGCATACATGGACAATTTTAAAAGAAATGTTGAGGAAAGGCTACATCCAGGCATTGCCTCCCCCCCCCCCAAATTTGGTTTGTATAGGCATTTGACCATAGTTGAATATTACCTCCTATTTTATAGTTTGTTATTTACTCTCTCTCTCTCTCTCTCTCTCTCTCTCTCTCTCTCTCTCTCTCTCTCTCTCTCTCTCTCTCATCTATCATTTATCACAAGTACATATACATTCTTGAATTAACTTTCCACATGGTTGATAACATAACATAAAATATGGATGCTATCATTATCATAATCAGACATTTTATTAAGCCTTAAAACTGCAGGTTTCTGCAAAGGCACCTGAAAGTAAATCAGTAATTGAGTGAAGCTTCCACTCCTATAGATAAGGATTGGTATGTAAGGCAATTTTCTCTTGCTATTTGGCAGTAAGAAATCAGTTTTCATTATAATCTCTGTCAGCTTGAGTACAGTTATATTTCAAACCCTAAATATATACTCCCTCTCATAATATATACTTGAGCTAGTAAGGGACAGGAGCAGAGTAAAGATGAAATTTACTCTTTCATCTTTAGCATCCCCAGATGAAGGCTTTCATCTTCAGCAACTCACAGTTTCAGGGCTTCCTTCTCGAAGAGCCTTGCAAAAACCCAACCATGTTAGCTAGGATAATGACCAACACATCTGTTATTACTGGTGACACTACTTTGTTTCATATAAAACCTCCTGGCTCCCTAATCTGGGAATTTGGGAAAGCTTCCCTAAATTTTCCAGCTGTAGAATACGGTACATGCGTTAGTTTACCCCACACCAACAAAGAAGAAAGATAGCATTTCCATTCAGATAAAAACAATTTATAGAAACCAATTATATTTTTCTCACCAGTGGAGGTAATAAACTTTGAAACTATGTCTAAAATGTCAAGCACGTGGCAGCTTAATTTTTAGTTATGCTGGAGGAAAGAGGGAGGGAAGGAGAGAGAGAGAGAGAAAGAGAGCATGAATTAGACAGTGACACAGAAGAGAAGAATTCAAATGCAGCATTTTAATTTGGTGTGTCCTTTCTTTTCTTTTTTTTCCCTTGACAACTTTTTAAATGGAGGCTGTTGCAGCTCATATTTCTCTCTCCCATCTGCAGCATTGCAGTATATTGTCAGTATGCTGGCAAGCACAAAGAAGTACACACAGTAATAAGACATTTTAAAATCTCTGTGACAGAACTGCCACCGTTACAAAGCTTCTATATTTGGTTTGGAGAGACATGAAATCCTATTATAGGTGTAAATAGCTCATCTTGGTGGTATATGATACCGGCATCGAGTAATCAGCACTGGAAAAGAAATGAAATGTATTTGTGATTCTGTTTGATCTATCTTGGGTAGGGATTTCAGAATTGGATTTTATAATTAGGATGTGACAAAGAATTGGGGTTTTTTTTCAGGTCTCAGTTTCTGTCTACCAAGGAATCAAGCTGCTTATGTCTATGACCACATCGGTGTGTTCTCTTTCATTTCTCATGTAATCAAACTCTGCAATTGCTTATAAGTTCAGTTTCTATGAAGCAGAAGAGTTCAGGAGTTAGAAGTGGCATTCGGCAATGTTCAGCCAAGGGCGTGAAATTCTCAGAACATACATTGATTGCTTCTGGAATATAGATTTCAAAAAGCCAAACCTAATTTCAGCCAGTAGAAATGGCTGATTTGCTTGCCCTTTTCTTTTTAGCAATTTAATTTATGAAGAAATCGGCATTGCTCCATTAAAAAAAGGTACTTCAAACAAAACTGTTTATAATCCTCATTCATTTCCCCATGTATAGTTCTATAGTAGGATCAGTGATCGCTACTCATCTCCTGCCCAACACCTGATATAGACCACATCAGATATCATAAGGATCAGATACAGAAAAAGTAGGAACTCATTTGTGCACAGCGAGGGGATCTTCTCTGTTGGCTGTTGACAGAATTGTTAAGTCTAAATCTTCTGCAGTTTGGCTTACTCTATTCTTCCTCCCTCATTAACCCCTTGGCAACTGGCCTGGTTGAAGACGGAAGCAAGAGGCTGGAAGACTCCATGTTCCCATCTGCAGACCATCCTTGACCTCACCAAGTGACTGCTGTTCAAAGAAAATTCTGTTGGTCCATTTTTTGAGATGGGTCATGAAAATAAACACTCTGGACAACTTGCTTGAGGTGGAGGCTAGTTCCTTTTACAGCATAATGGCCTGTAAAGTTCTTAAAGGTGGCCACAAAATCAGAATGCTGAGAGAAGTTATATTTGTAATGAAAGTAGACTTTGATTGTAGGGTGTGAGGACATGTTGATTTGAAGTGGTTTTGCTCCTGGGGGGGAGGAGGTCATGCGAAGAGTTAGGGAGTGTTGATCTTTTCTAAATGTGGAATCTTCTGTAGGTATGGGATTTTTATGAGGGATCTAGGTTGAAGATCTGGTGTTGGTTGTTGTGATTTAGGAGGTTTCCATATCATGATTTCCTGATTAATTTGCCGGTTTCGGCTGGCTGCCCATTATTAATTTCAGCTTAAAATTTTACAACCTTCCACGTGGGTCAGGAGAGACTTGCCTGTGGAATGTGAGGAAAGGAGCGGTGCTTCCAGTGTTATGTTTTGGCTAGCAACGGTGTCATAGAGGTTTTTTGTTTGTTTGTTTTTACCTTCCAACACTGTATTTGGGAATTTGCGTCAGATTCATATTTTTTTGCTTTCAAAATTTTTATTAGTTTATCAAAATACAATATAAAATACAAAAATATAAAAGAAAATAATGGGAAAATAAGTGTAGGGCAGAAGGGTTGACTTCCAACTCCCTTTGGTGCAGTAGAATAAAACTCAAACTTTTTACTTTTATATAATAATATAAACTAGCCATCGCTATAACATCAAACCTATCTAATCAGCAAAACCCAAAATCAAGGTTTCATTTTTTTTCCACCTCAAGCACAAAGTCCAAAAGCGGTTTCCAAACAGAAACAGATTCATAGACATATTTTTCTTTACCTAGAGATACCACTAGTTTTCTTTGCTATAAAATCTATAAAGATCTTACATGTGGAACAACTGCAATAAAATAGCATAAGGTCTCCTGCTTGAGCTAGGGGTTGGACTATAAGACCTCCAAGGTCCCTTCCAACGCTATTATTCTGTAAAATCTATAGTATATAATGGAAAGGAAGGATGAATTAACTTACCCTGAGATTAATTTTCTGTCTGTGATTGTGTAGGCTCTTCTATGTTTTCAACTTGACTATTCATTTCAACTGAAAACAAAACAGTAAGGTTATTTTTCTGCATTCTTTTTCAGGCCGGCATTCTTTCTGAAATTCAGTAATTAAATTGCTGGATTAATTCATCAATTGCCTGAGAGGGTTTCCAAATCACACTAAAGAAAAAATAATTTGACTGGCTAAATATTTATATCGTTTTAAAACAAACATTGAAATCATTACTATGAATTTGGGGGTCTTTGGATCTGATTTGAAATAACACATTTGATTTAATCACTGAAATATTTTAGTATCATTTCCACATTAGGAATATGTAGCATTGCAATGTTTTACAGTTTGGCCTTATAAGATTGTAAACATCTGACTGTTCCTCCTCCTGGATCACAGCAGGATTACCCGAGGGCCAAAACCTATGAATCATGGTTGGTTACACACTGAGCCAGATGTTTAGGCTGAATTTGGCATTTTTATCCACCTAACATTCTGGGATTGGCACAGATGTTTTTGTTTGATTGTGTTGAAGGTATCTTCTTTGAAATTGACTGACGGTGAAACTGTCAGTGCCAATGGAGTTCAAGTAGTGCTCCAGCTGTTTTGGACCCAAGACACCTATTATTATTGCTGCTATCTCTGATTTCTTTTGCACAATCTTTGTGTTTCTATTTTTCAAGTCTTTGTATTTTATGATTTTCTCCAGCTCTTTCTCTTCCAGTTTGATGATTATCTGCTCACAACAATTTAAAATCACAATTACTAGTTCTTTAGCTGGTATTGATCTTCATATACTTTGGGTTCTTCCCAAGAACCTAGGATGTGATAATGTATCGGCAAAGTATATGTGTACATAAAAGCAGTGTGGCCTTTTGCAACCGACAGATGGACATTTTTGTTAATCTGCAGAGTTTCTATTGCTGTTCAATATTTTTGGTATGGCATCCAGTGTGCCAATAAGCATTGAGAGCATCAAGGCTAGTTTATGTCATAATCTTTCAATTTGGATTTTCAGATCTTGATACTTCATGATTATTAAAGTCAGTTCACAACACTGTGAAATCACAGCAGTTTTTTTAAGCTGGTGCTAGCCTTCATATGCATCAAGTTCTTTATTATTCTGGTTCATTGCACAGTCAGCCAGATGTTTAGACTAGATTTTTATCTATTTATTGAGTCCTTCCCAAAGGCCTGAGATAGGGAGATGTTGTTTGATGATGCCAAAGGTATCATTGCAGGATGTAATTTATTTTTATTTTTAATAATAATATATTATTATTTTGCATTTTGCTCGGATCTAGTAGCTCTTCATTATAAGTACAGGCAACAAAATTTTTCATGTATAATTTGCTTTATATTGGATACTTTTTTTCTGCAGTACTGCTATTGGACACTTTATGATTGATTCACAACTTTATTCAGGGTTGAATTCTATAAGATATCATAGCAAACCTTTCACTGTACCAATCGCACAATGAAGCGTCTGTGCTGCTAAAATATGCAGGAATTTTTACCCAGAGAACCAGCACCTGGCTGTGAATATGTGTGAAATATAGCAGCAACTCCACTGTCAGGAGCATGTTGTCATGGTTGACATGAGTGCAGTCTACAACAGTATTATACTCCTGTTAAGATGACAAACTGATTACTTGCCCATTTGCACCATAAAAACTAAAGTGCAGGTGGGCATTATAGACAGCTAAAGAAATCAAAGATACTACTATAGCTATTAAGGCATCTTAGGCAGTCATTATTTCAGTCAGCAACCATCTATTCTTGGCCTGGAATGGACTAACTTGCTGGTGACAATACATTTTTTTCAAGGATGGCAACTGTAGAACTTGAGTGACCTAAAGACCAAAATCCAATATTTCAGTCAAACTAGTGATTGAATGAAGTGTGCTTATAAGGGCAATTACTTTCCACTCTAATACTGAGACGGCCAAAAAAGCAGTGATATTCAAAATGTACCTATGTCTTAACCTTTTGAATGAGTATTTCAGGTTCATTTTAATCATAATAGAAAATATATATATATAATTCTACACACTCGCACTCCCCACAACACATATTATGACATTTTTCTAAATGCAATAAATGGCTGTTATCATGATGCAATTATTTGTCATTAGAAATAGCCGTAGAGTACTGTAGAGCAAAAGCTGAGCCTTCTAGATGACTATATAAAGGCCAACATCTTGTCTCTGAGATCTTAATACTATTGAATATATTTTCTTTTGAATTGTTTCTGTAGGGCTGAATGAAATTCTGTATAAAGTCTGAATTATAATAACTTATTCCTATTATACTACTACGGTTATTCTGTGGAAAAAAACTGTTTTTGCACATCCATAACGGATGCTTGGCATTTCCCTGGAAGGCTCTTGACTGGAAGTTTTGAAATTGCCTGAATAAATTCACACCTGAACTGAAGATTTGAAAAATAAGAGACAATAGAAAAAAAATTAATATGCTTGTCATATGCTATGAAGCAAATCTGCTTCTGACTCACTGTTGTCATACCAATATACCAGCAAAGATTCTGTTGAATTGCTTGTGAATTATTCATCTATACTTTACTTCCACACTTGCTAGATTAAACCACTTACTGGCATGGCACAGACATTTTCAAACTTAAATGAAACTGCTCTTTCTATAGCTATGCAGAGAAATAACTATTGTGTTAAAACTGATCCCTGCACCTCAGGTCAAACATTTCACTTGCTGTATTTTCTTCCCACTTAATACATGCTTAGTTAGGAAAAAAATAATAGCTACAGATGATGATAATCTATCCTTGATTTTAAATTTGATTGAACATGTTGGTTCATTCTTTATTTGTGAGCAGTGTGGTGGCCTAGTGCTGAAGATGCTTGCCTCCCACTTGGAAGGTTGAGAGTTCAATCCTAGGTAGGGGCAGATTTTTCTCTCTCAGGGAGCAAAGAGAAAATATCTCCTGTGAACTCCACATAGGCATCAGGAAGGGCATCTGGCCAGTAAATGCTCAGCTCCATTTAGTCACCCCGATTCTACCCCAAATTAAGGGATTACAGTGTTGTAAAAAGAAAAAAAAAGTTAATTCTTTTCTTAAAATGGAAGTTCTTCCCCCGTCAATGATAAAACCAGGGGAAATCAAATCAAATAGGTTCTCAACTTGTGCTATGCTATGACATCCCCCTCCCCTAATGAATTAATTTCTGTGATACCCCCTAAATAATGATATTGGTGATGAGAGAACTTTTTATGGTGGCTACCGAAAATGGTAAGCTTGGCATTGCAATTTTTTTACCAATTATGAGACCCCACTCACCTAAGATTCAACATGTGGGCCTGACTTCCCCAAGACTTAGGGCTCTGCAGAGGATGGGCTCCCTACCTACTTATCTTTCAATCCTGCTGGCCACTCAGAGTTGAATCTGCTGATTTCACATCTTGGCTACAATCATATCTCTGTTTGGTGGTATATTTGGGACTCAGTCTAGTGCACGCAGCCTTGTATTAATTTCCCATGCTGAATAAAATGTCCAGGTTGAATGACAACCAACTTGTGCCCCTCCATCTATGCACAGCACAAAGCTCTTCTGTTCTGTTGAGACAGGCAACTATTTAAACCAACTGAGAGGTGGTGGATGGAAAAGGAAGTGAGATTTTGCTGGGAATACAGGAAACTGGCTATCATTTGATGCCTTTTATGTATTCAGGTTGCAATGCAAATTCAAACATGCAAAGTTTGGGTCATGACATCATGACAGACACCTCTTTATCTTGATGTCTTCATGCTTAGAAAGAGATGGCTATGGTAGAAAGTGAGGCAAACCTATTAGACATTATCAGTGAAGTACATAATCTACGTAGTGTAAAAAAATGGATATTGATAATAGTGGACTGAATCATTTCATTATCTGATAAATGTCTATCACAATTTGTTGTTTGTGTAATGGAATCCTTGAAGCATTGTTATATGGATTTTTTTTTAAAAAAAATACAGATCCAAAGACACAACTAAAGAAAGCAAAGAAGAGGAGGCATGGATTGAAGCTTGCAAGAGTACTTATTCAAATTCTTCAGTCAGAAATAGCAACAACCCAGCCACTTTCAAACAAAATAAATATTGGTATGCATAGGATAAAAGAAGAGAAGGCAGCATAGCAAATCCATGTTGACCTTTTCACAGCTCTGTATGTAGCTCTGGAATTATTGTGCATGTTTATTAGAATTTAATATGTACTTATATTGTTGTTGTTCAGCCACTGCGTCATGTCCAATTCTTTGCAACTCCATGGATCATAGCATGCCAGGTCCCTCTATCTTTCACTAACTGCCAGAGTTTGCTCATGTTCATTGTGTTAATGATACTATCTAACCAATGTGCTTATAGCCTGGTATATATCACATAGTCCTACCATGTTTCCCCAAAAATAAGACCGGGTCTTACTGTATATTAATTTTTGCTCCAAAATACGCATTAGGGCTTATTTTCTGGTTAGGGCTTGTTTTCAGGGAAATACGATACTAAATTCATCCATCTGGCTGATGATCTTAACTGGGGATTATTTTGGGGGTGGGGCTTATATTACGAGCGTCTTGAAAAATCATGCTAGGGTTTATTTTCTGCTTGGGTCTTATTTTCGGGGAAACACGGTATTTTAATCATATGTTGTTCAATAAATGACATCAACCTGATAAGCCACATTGTGATTGAATTAGCCACTATAGCATGTAATCCATGATTATACCTTAGCATCATTTGTGAACCAAGAGAATACGCCTTGTTTTAACCACGGCATACTAGGGAATGGAAATTTAGCCTTTCCATCCAGTAGGCCCTGTAATACATTATCAGATTATGAATGTTGTAAGGAAACAGTATTCTTTCTCATTTTCTACTTCTTTGGATCATGATCCCATCTATTTCTTCTATTAAAAAAAAACCATTTAGTTCTTTATAAAATCCAAAATAGGCAGTTTCACAAAAATGGATGTACACTCAGTGGTGGGATTCAAATATGTGAATAACCGGTTCTTTGTGTAGATGCCGTTTCTGGAAGTCCATTCTGGGCCTGGGCAACAAAAAATTAGCTACTGGTTCTGCTGAAGTGGTGTGAACCAGCTGAATCCCACCACTGTGTACACTGCCTGAAGGTGTCTAGCTTCACATCATAATGAACCCTGGTGCCTACACCTCTGTTGTACAGCAAGGCAAACTTAAACAATAAGCCCCAAATGTTGGAATGAGTTAATGAAATCACACGGGGTTTTGTCTGCAAGATTTAATGCTGACATATAAAAGTGACTAAAGGGAAGGTTGACATTCTCAGTTGGTGCTAATTTTTAATCCTATCACCTTGAGTAGCGGTGGACTTATTCACAGAGTGGGACAGGGAGGCAAGAGAGAACAAAAGCATGAAATGAGCTGCCTTTGTGTGCGTTTGCTTTACAGTTGAGTTCTTTGCGGCAATGGAATTTTGGGCTTAGGCAAATTAGTGTCAGTCCCGTGCTTGAGTGCTCAGGCCTGAATCCCATTGAAAGTTCAGTTGCATAAGTGAGGGCAGTAAAGCATTCCTTCTGCTTCACAGCTGGGAAGGCTGGCAGCTTGCATAAATTCACACTTTTTGCGTACGGCCTTTAAACGAGGTGAGACCACATTCTAAGAAAGGGAGGTGTGTGTTGCTTGCATCCCCTTCCCCCCCCCAAAGGTCTTGGGAAGCTTACCATCAATACTGGAAATGTTTTCTGTATTGCATTGCCCTTCCGGCTGCACGGAATCAATCACCTGCTTTCCTTTCCCTTCTTCTGCACCTGCAGAAAAGACAAGCAAGGAGAGAAACAGATGAACAAGGGTAACATCCGATCAATGGGCCATTTGGGTTCTCTGTTACTTCCCATCAGCTCTCTGACTGCGGTGAGAGTGGTGGCTATTCGGGAAATGATGAGAGTGGCACCCCAAAAGGATTGTGAGGGAGGCCAGATTTCAAAAGGAATTTCTTCAAAAAACATCTTTTGCAGGGGGCATGATTCAAACTTCCATCAGCGCCTGGATTTTTTGTCTGCATTGCCAGATTTTCTTTTCCAAGCATTCCTGAAAAATCTCCTTAGACCCACCACTACTATTACCATTATCACCGCAGTCATTATGACCACCACCACCACCACCCAATTGCAAAAGACAGCTTTCCTTGGAAGGGCTTATATCCCGCGATGATACCGTTAACACCATCAAACAGCATCTGCCTATGCCAAGTCTTTGAGAAGGACTCAATAGGTGGATAAAAATGCCAACCTGGGTCTTAACATCTGGCTGACTGTGTGATTTACCGTAATAATAAACCTGAAATGGGGACCTAATCAAGTTTTGAAACGTTTCCTCTCTGGAACATTTTAAATAGTACCTGTTCCTGAAAAGCCTGCAACCTTAGCTGCCGTACGCAACCTAGAATTTAAATGTAAGAAAAGGTGCTCGTTGGCAAGCACTCAGCGCTTTGTTATTTGCTGTGCCTGAGGTTGCCGGGGAACTTTGATTGAAACTCTTAACAAAGCTCCAAAATGAGCCATGTAGCCAAAGCTCCCTTCCTGCTTTTGGCTTCGTACCCTGCCTCTTTACGAATTTTATGATTTCAGATTTTTAAGGGACCAATTGCTAGCTAATTTCCATGATGGTTCTTCCCCATTTTATGACACATGTAAAGCATGCCAAGCTTACCCAGTGGCTGAGCTAGAGAAGTCAAGCAATTGGTTGCTAAGCAATCATCGGAATTTAGGAAGAGGGAAGCAGTTGCGCTGATTGAACATTTCAAAACATCCGTCTTTAAACACAAATAATGCATTCTTTTCCCACAGGCAGGGCTGTGAAAGTATTGAAAGAGCCCCAGTTCCTTGCATCAAGTGAAGGATAATCATGAGGAAGCAGGCAGAGAAGGCAAGAGGAAATGAAACTGAGAATGCCCATTCTTAAATAAACCAGCCATTAAAAAGGGGCACACACAAAGATCCTTTTTTCCACAGAGCTCAGAAGGGTAGACATGACTTTCTCATTCATCCAGCCAAATTTTATGAGAACTCCATGAAAATGTCTTGAGGGGCTTCAGAGCTCAAAGGGGATTCTAAATTAGGAGTCCCCCTCTAATTTCCACGCCATTCATTTATCACCAAGAAAATTAAGGCAATTTAATTAGCAAAAGGTTTGATATGATTGGGATTAAACCTGAATTTATTTTAGAACCGTTCAGGGTTCTTTCATTTTTTATAGATCATTGGACTTCCTTGTTCTCATCACCTTTTTCTTTCCCTCCTTCATTGTTAGATTACATATAAATGTCACTATGATTAGGCTTTCTTTTTGCAGGGAGATCCTGAAATGGCAACTTAGTATGCATAATTAAAATCTCAAGATTTCTCTGGAGAAATCCTTAGGGCAGAAAAAGTTTTTCCTTGGCACTTGTGAAATGGCAATAGGCCTAAATCTTCCAAAATGTTTTCTTCATCACTGTTGTTCACACTTGGAGGATAAAACATCCAGTCTTGAAACATTAGCATTTTTTCCAAAGGGTTTGTCAAGCCAAGAGCCACTGGGTTCATTTAAAGTCATCCACTGAATTTTTATTGTCTATGTGTTTTAATAAAAACTACTGGGATAGTTAGATGAGAAGCAGTTAAAAGCTCTCACTGGAATTGAAGGCCTTACCTCTTTTTATACATTTTTAGAAGTTTGGGCAGGTATGTTTAGATGTGTTTTAATCTAACTGTAATCTTGTTAAAGAAGGAAAAAATAGACAGATTTCAGTTGTTTATTACAGAGATTTTTCCAGATATTTCCCATGTAGATTTTGGGGATGCATCCTAAATAGACTAAATAGGCCAGAGTTACCCTGTGGTAAGATGTGTGGCCAATAAATTTAATAATAAATAAACATAATAATATTTACAATAAATAACATCATGGTACCTATGCCTGACAGATCTTACTGCTGCTTTTTCTGAAAGTTTCCTGGGAGCCAATGAAAATGGCATGATGTGAGAGACGGTGTTCTCCCATTTTGAGAACATCCAGCAGCATCAAGACATTTTGATTTCCAGGTATGAGATGTCAGGAAGAACAAAAGCTCACGTGAAATTCAAAAGCAAATTTGTTAGGACAATTGCATTCCAGTGCTTTGTTTGTCCACAACAAAAGGATCAGGCAGAGAGTATCTGGCAGTAATCTGAGGAATAATGCTTCAGTTTCTCTCTGCCCAGCATTTCTTGTTTCATGTGTTCAAGTAATAAATAGTTTAACAAGCAAAAGCTTTGAAATAAAGGTTTATTATAGCAGGTTAGGCTTCATCTGATGTGGCAAACAGCAGCTTCAAAGGCTAAGATACTTTCAAGACAGTCTTGCATAGCCATGAAATTCTTGATGTACATGCTGGATTCTCTCACCAATATTGGTTTGCATTTCAATCCTGGAACAAGCCAGATGCAATGCCAGTGCTTTTCATAAGAGCAAAGTAATTATGGCTTGTTTGTCCAACTTCTTATTTTTGCTTTCCCTTAGCTGCAGTTGCCTTATCCTCTGCAAATTAGTTCAGGATTGGATGGAGTATAAATAAACAAGGCATCAGTCAGGAATCCACAAGTTAATTCTGTACTCTTATTCATACAGAATTAAACATCCCCTCCCCCCCATCATTCCAATATGCGGATCATTACGTAAAACTAATCATAGCTTATTCATTCAGTTCCATTTTTACATCATGCTAAGCCCCAAACAAATCACATTATTAGTTTTGCATGATGTATGAATCAAATCATGGGATTTTTTCCTGTCCCACCTTCACCCCTACCCCTACCATTAAGTTATCATGAAGGTTTTGAAGTGGTAATTTTTACTGGGACATTTCTTCTAACATTATTAGAAATCATTGGGGGAATAAAGTGCCATGGACCCTGGCATGGTAGTGCTCTGGGAATCATTTATCATGACCTCTTTAACAGCAATATTACAAAAGGTTTCAGGAAGAACTACGGAAAGGAAAAGAGTGTTTGCCTGCTCTATACCTAACAGCTACTGTAAAGCAAGGCAACTCAGAATAGTCGTGATTACATAGAGAAGGGCAAAATACCACTCTAATAACTAGTGCAAGGCTTGGGGAATTCCACATGGGAAAGTTAAAAGCAAATTCAAAGTTAAATCTTGCATTATAATGCTGCCGTGGGTGGCAGGCAAAGAATGCTCAATCCGTTGGATCAGCAGGTTTTCCATAAAACGAAAACTCTATTTATATAAATCCTCATTTTGTTCATACTGCCTTACCATGTGGGTGGTTATGGAAGGAAGAACAATAGCAGCATTCATTATACTGACATGCATGTGAAACAGGTATTATCCCCAAGCACTTCTTTCCTGCTGTGTAAAAAAACTGTGTGCCACCAAGAAATGAGTCCATTTCACATAAACAGGAGAATCTGATCAAAACAAGAAATGCCTTTCCAAGCATTTTATTCAAAAGGTTTCTCTCTCTCTCCCCTGTGCCTCGCTCTCTGCCTTTCAATCTTGATTTCTATTGCTTGGAACACAAACAAGATGCACATTTCAGGAGCTCCACAGCCAGAGATGAGAAATACTAGGATGTACTTTGCAAGATACCACTTTCAATTACCATTTCCAATTGCGTTACTGACAGGCTTGATTATCATAAATCTTCATGGTTGTATGATATTTCTAGAAAATCAATAGCTAAGACTGACTATGTAATGTATTTTTAAAACTTCAGTGATGCTGTTTCTGCATAGATTTTTTAAATGCTCCATGAAAAGATTTGCTTATAGCCTTAGCTATTTTTTAAAGAAATATATGTAAATATATCCCATTCACATACAAAATGACAAAAAAATAGAACCTGAAAATACTCAATAACTTATCTTTTAACAAAACTGATATGGAGTAGATTTTTGTAGCAGAATTTGGTTTCAGATGTTTGAGAATTAATATCTATTGTCTGTAAGAAAATATCTAATTTATTTCCGGCTTTCTCTAAATTGTATTGAATCATATAACGTAAAAGCTGGACCTGCACTATTTCTTGTTTCTATCTCTATTGGAGAAAAGCTTATTGAATTTGTGCTGTGTAGAAATCAGAAGCTGAATCTGATTGAAAATGAACACTTTTCATTATCATTTTACAGTACTGTATAACTTTTAATTATTTGGGATTATTTTTATTATGTTTACTCTCTTTGAAAGCACACAGGAGATTGCGGCAAAGTTTTAGCAAGTAAAAACAAATGAAGAAAAAAGAAAGAAAATACAAGTGTACAGATTTCTTTCCCACTAAATGTAAACCAGATTGAATTTTTTTTTTTTTTTACTGAAAGAGCCTCTGAGGCTGAAGTAGGCAATCGCCTCACCCTCTTTTTTCAACTTTGTTATAGTCTGAAATAAATCAACCTCCAGCACTTAAGAAATAGCAATCTAAAAGAAGTCTCAGGCTCATCAGCATATTCTCAAATTGATTATGATTTGGTGCCAGAAGATGATCTGGGGTTGATTCTAGAAAATCTGAGCTGGAGGACATACGTGGACAAGATCTCATTGCAGAGTCCTGAGAAGACCTGGTGCTACCTTGGCTCAAACTATTCTAAAGTTATAGACAACCTTCCAAGGAGATTTATAAGACTACTGAAGAGAATAGGCTATTATAGCGGTTTAGCAGAGCCTATAGGATAGAGGTATAAGCTAGTTTAGATATTACTGATTCTTTTCTCTTTCATCTGAGATACTACTAACCACCACTCCCAGTTATGTGTCATTGCAAAGCTGTCCT